CCCCCCCCCCGTCCCTCCCGCTCTCAAACCCCGTTTCCTTCGTTCCAGCGGCGAGGCTGCCGGGGCCCCGCCCGAACCGGGGGTCGTGGCTGCCGGCCCCGACGGAGGCATGCCTCCAGGGATGGGGGGGGATGTTTCCACTCTCGCAGGAGACGCCAATGAGGCGGCAAGGCGAGGAATTGCTTGCTGCTGCTGCTGCTGCTGTTGTTTTTGCGATGGTCGGCGTCGTTGTCGTTGCTGGCTGTTTCTGCTGTTGTCGGGTGTCGTTGTCACCGTTGCGAGTTTGGCACATCCTGCCCTGCTACTGCTGTTTTACAGCACTACTGCTGTTGTACAGCAGTCGCACCCCTCTACTTTTTTTATGACATCTTTTTCAGACCGTTCCTTGCTTCCCTGCGTGCTTGGAGCAAATCCTTGCCGACACAAGAGCAATCTCTTCATCAACGTCCGGTGTACCCTACCAGACCCCTTACCGATGTTACCCCGGTTATTTTTTGTGTGTACGCTGTCCTGTCCTACCTAGTACTGTATCCTGAACCAACCCTGTTTGTACGTACCTGCCGTGCTGGGTGCTGGTATATGGTATGTTCGTGTGTACCCTATCCTGTCCTACCGATCGTCCCACCCGATCCGACCCCGCTGGTGCGGACTGTACCCCTTATCATCCTAGCATACGTTCTGCTCCCTGGTGTGTATGGCATGTGTGCATACATTTTTTCAGACTCCTAAAGGAGGCGGCGAATCTTCGAAGGCAAGCCGCGATCCAGGAGGGAGGGGACGCCGGAGCCATCCGGCCGGAGATGGTGGCCGACGCTCAGGCCAAGGCGGAGGCGGCTGCCGGAGCTCTCGCGGTTGGACGCATGGGCCAGGTTCGTACACATGGCAGTGGCGGCTACGGTCGACAAAAGTTTTTGACGTTATTTTTTATGACAGCACAATAGTGACTTGTAGCTGCCATGAGAATCACAGTATGTTACGTACTTCATTGGTTTAGGAGAAGAATCGGAGGTGGTAGAGTGATAACTTCTCTCTGTTACACCGTAGCTGCTAACTCTACACATGTACGCGCGCTTGTGTCTTTCGGGTTGGGGCACCGGCGTGTTGGGCGGGCGGTTGGGTGGGTCCCCCATCGGCACTTGCGTTCACGCTACGCTGCTTGTATCCCCGAAGCGCTGCGCCCCTTGCCCCTACAGCAGTGCTCCCCCCCCTTCCGTATGCCGACAAGGCGGGAAGTGATGTCGATAGGACAGGGAAAATGTTTTTGAGCCACCCTTGGCAAAGTAGGAAGGAACGATTGGCCATCGGTGTTGGGTCCTGTAGGGTAACAACTGTCCGTGCTCTCGAGGACTCGTGGCCAACGGTTTAGCCAACCGCTGAGGCATGCAGAACGTGAGTGCGAAACCCCCCCCCGCCGACCGCCTGGCCATTCAGACCCCCTCCCCCCTCACTCCCCCCCCCTGACCACAACC